GCCAATTGAGATTATGATAAATAAATAAATATAAATATGCTGGGACATTAACACACAGCACCATCTAGTTTCATGCTTAGTTACGAGGCTTGTATTATGGCTCAGCTTGTAGTGACTCTTGCTGATCAAGTTCTCTCGGGTTCGAGTCCCGCTGGGGGTATTTATTCGTGTGATGAGCACGGATGTTTGAACTCCAGTCATGGGTGTTTACTGTTTATATTTATAATATGTATGTATTTAAAGTTATATGTGTAGTGTATCAACTACCTGGTATTCATAACACAAGCCTCGTAGCTTACCATGAAACTAGATGGTGGTGTGTGTTAATGTCCCAACATATTTATATTTATTATTTTCCTAATATATAATGAGATATTTTAGATAAGAGATTCCATTTCTAAGGATATAATAAAAACTTTTTAGTGATTTTAAAGTCAGTTTCCGAAAGTAATCATTAACTCAGTATTTTATTTATAAGGATGAAGTCATCTAATAATATAATAAGGCTTTATATCAACTTAACTGACGTCACAATCACGTGGACACGTAATTTTTAACTCCTCAATATTACTCCTGGTACAATTTAAAGGAAGCAATAAACACCATAAGCTATATATAGCGTAGCTTATTCTTAGAACAAAATTCAATACCATTGTTACATACTTGAATACAATATAAAATTAAACAATAAAGTCGATTTTTAATTTAACAATTTACTTGCGATGTACACAGGATGCCTAACGATTGGTTCTTTAGAAAATTTCAGCTCAACGCCTTATTGTAAGGGCGGTAAAGTCTAAAATGCTTGTTTTCTTAGAACTTCTATAAACAATGGTTGGTATTTTGTAGGTATTTTCTATTGAAGTGGAGGGGATATAACTGAGTTGTAAAGTTCTTATCTGAAAGTGACGCCAAACATTGAGTGTTGTTCACAAAGTGAAATATCTAGGTATACATAATAATATTATAATAAAATTCTAACCAAGCCCAATCTGTAGATTAAATATTTTTTGGAAAATCTTATTGAAATAGTCATTATTATCTATACAGAGGCCGAATCTATAGTTTATAGAATTTTTCTGTCTGTCTGTCTGTCTGAGAACGCATTACAAGAAAACCACTGGACAGATTTTGATGAAATTTGGTATGATGATAGCTGGTTATCCGGGTCAACATAAAGGATACTTTTTACTGCGGGAAAATATCTTATTTCTGACAAATCTATACTCACCGTTCAAACGTATCTAGGGACAAACCCAAGCGCAGCGAGGGTGAGTCGCTAGTATCCATATGTTATGTATGTATAAGTAGGCAAATTCAAACAGTTCAGTACTTTTTTCTTTTCAGTTTGTGAACCTTTTTTTTATTTTGCTTAGTAGCTATTGACGAGCTTAATTTATTATCAATAAAAAAAATTAAAACAGCTAGTTTTTAAAATGGTTATGGTCGAATTTCAACTGGTAATAATTTTCTTTAATTAAAATACCATCACACTGGTGAAACCACGTGTTAAACCTAAGGTACTATAACTTCACGATATTAGCTATTTCTCTTACAAATTCCCTCCTAATAGGTATCCATTTTTTTTATTAGAAATGGGCTCACCTTTGACCTTCATCTTAGCTCGAAGGCACATATAAAGTCTGTCATCTAGCGAGTTTGCCCAGGAGAAGCCTGTTAACACGTACCTTTCATTTTCCCTTCAATTAAGCACAATTAAGCACAATAAATTCTATATGATGGTTTCGATGACAGACAATTGCTTATATGGTCCGTGCAAATTTTTACCTTTGAATGGTATTTAACGATCGTCTTCAGTAAACACCTGTCTGGCGCTGACTGCTGTCCCATAGAAATAATTGATCGTGTTGATATGAAAACTACTCATGAGTATGCTATTTGATTAATGATTAAAATTGATAACTTATCACTTAATTGTTTCAACTTGTATCTATATATCTAACTAACGAGGACACGTTTGGCTCAGTTTGTAGTGATCCTACTTGCTGTGCCAGCGGTCGCGGATTCAAGTCCCGCTGGGGGCATTCATTTGTGTGATGAGCACGAATGCTTGTACTCCAGTCATGGGTGTTTATATTTATAATATGTATGTATTTAAAGTTATATATGTGTAGTGTATCAACTATCTGGTATCCATAACACAAGCCTCGTAGCTTACCATGGAACTAGATGGTTCAGTGTGTTAATGTCCCAACATAAAAATAAATAAATAACTACTTACTCTCGCTTCGCTTGCGAGCTTAAGTGTATTCTGAGTTAATTATTCTAACACTAGGCTGGGATAAAGACTAAAACGGCTAGGAAATTTGGTTGGGTACATAGATAGACCGGGAGTAATACATACACACTGTTAGGGACATAGGGACGCATCGGAGCATAACGAGGGTCAGTCATTGGTATTATGTACTTGTATCTACAGGTAGTGTCACTTTTCGCACTAAGTCCAATGGTTTTCTCGTGATGCGTTCTCAGACAGACAGATAGACATATAAATAGACAGACAGATAAAAAAAAATCTATAAATTATATATTCGGCCCCTGTATCGATAATAATGACTATTTCAATAAGATTTACCAAAAAACATTTGATGTAGGTACAGATTCGACTCAGAATTTTATTATATGTATAGATTGATTATTATTTTCAGAGAGAGTTTTATGTACCTACTGAGAGAAAAATGATTTTTTATGTTCATACAATAGGTAGGTACTGTAGATTAATACCGCGAAATCAAACATTAGTACCGTATAAAGGGAATACATAGTGAGATTTTAAAATTGTTCTAAAAACTTCAAAAATTTTTAAAAATTTTCGTTACGGCTCTTTTGTATAGATAGCACTTATCCATATTATGCAATTTTTATATTTTAATTTTCTACGACCATCAAAATTATCCACCTAAATAATAATATTTAAATACTAGCGACTCACCCTCGCTTCGCTCGTGTTCGTCCCTAGGGTATGTACAACTTCCCTATTTGAATCGGATATTATTCAATTTTTCATTGGTTTTAATTTTTTTCATGGGACCCTATTTTTTTCTAAAATAAAAGTACCCTAAGTTACTCCTTATTATATCAGCCAGTGAAAGTCCCGTCAAAATCGGTCCAGCCATTTCAGAGATTAGCGGGAACAAACAGACAGGCAGACAGATAAAAATTGTAAAAAATGTTGTCTTAGTATAGGTACCGTGTATACATTTTTTTCACATCCATGGGTGAACTGGAAGAAATCTCTCTTAGAGAAATCTCTCTTTGTCCTTTTTCCTTTGTCTATATTATGTTTCATAGGTGCAATAAAGAATATACTAAGAATCCAATTACATTTTCTTAAGCAGATTTGGAGGAGTATAGTGACATATTGACAGGCAGTGTGTCACGAGTACCTAAGTCTATAAGATTTCGTTTTTTTTCCTATTAAAGCAGGAAACTGTAAAAAGCATTTTTTTAAAAATTATTTTTTCTTTTTTTTTCGCGGATTTATTTTTATTTTTGATTCCCAACGTTTCGAAAACTTTACAGCAATCATGGTCACGGGACCATGATCAAAGTTTTATTTAAAATATCAAATATTCGAGTAAATCTAAGAATTTTTTTAGAAAAGCAATTGATATAAATTTATAATTGTATTTCATTTAAGTAAAATTCTGTGTTATTTATAATACCTATACCATGAATAGATATACGAAATATATTATATAGACCACGAAACTCGCCAAACAAAAACTAAAATTACAAAAAAAACTATAATAAATATTTTAATGATATATGAAATGTAAAAAATTGATAAGAGAACATATGTAATTTTCTTTTATCTATTTAGCAGGTATTATTTGTAGATTAATGTTATATTGTTCTGATATGTCATATTGTTTTAGTTAATTTTTGTATTGTTTTTGTTTTTGTTAAGTTTAATATGTGTTTTTTTTGTATTTTTTTTAGTAACTGTCAACTTCACCGCTCAATATGATTCACGTATCATTGGAAACTGAACTTTATTGGTTTATGAACATTTATGTAAGCTATTTTATAAACATTTATAAACACTATTTGTTCCTCAATAAAAAACCAGATTGACGAATTTCTTTAAACAAATATTTAATGCACTTAGATATAATTATGATGTTTTTCTTTGCCGTAACAAGTAATAATGAAATCTCAGAACTACAAGACTAGGGCTAAGATCCGCCTTACATAACCTACTGTGTATTAGTTAATATTGCATGTTTTAAATATTATCTCCCTCTTTAATATCTTTTCGGTTTTTGGTCAAATATTTGCGTAAATCTAAAAAAATATTATGTGAACCAGTACAGTCTCTCCGGTGACCATGATTGCTGTAAACCATTCGAAACGTCGGAAACCAAAAATCTAAATAAATCCGCTAAAAAATCCGAAAAGATAGTTTTATTTAAATGGTCAACAATTCGCATAAATCTAAGAAAGAATATAACATGTTTATAATTATAATACTAACATCTAAAATAGACAGTAAAAGCATTTTATTTGCTCAACTAAACGTATAAATTAAAAAAAAACTCTTGTACAAATTTGTGGAATCCATTCTGTAAACTTCCACACGTCAACCACACATGGAGTAACTCAGCTACAACATCCTATAAAAGTAATATCTTGTTTAACTCCAAACCAAATAAACACGACCCCCAACAGTTTTATATTATATGTATGTTTTATTGTAAAATTCATAGTAACCTGTCAATATATCACAATGAACACTTATCTTAACATTTGTCTATTCGCCTCACGTACTTCAATTTAGTAGCGAGCGATAAACTCTTGCGCATCGCATGCCAATGACAAGGCTTGTGATCCAAATGAAAAATTATAATATATAGCTATGTTTAGATTTTCATACTTATTTTATTATGTTTGGGTTAAGTCAATCACATTCGATTCGTATAATAGAAGTGAATTATTTAATTAAATTAGGCATTAAAATACATATATGAACGTGGTCGATGTATGAAAGCCCGCATAAGGCGACCACGAATGCCTGGCTGCGGCAGCCATTACAAACGTGCCTTAATGCACGGCAGGCGATTGGCCGCGTGCAGCCAAAGCAAGTGTGCGAAATGCTACCGTGGCTGCCGTCAGTCTCTATGCACTTGGCGACACAGCCAGACCTATTCACTCGACGAAAGGTTTACAAGTTACCGTCGATTGCCGCAGCTTGGCTGCCTAGTGCGGTAAGCCTTAGATGAGAGTAACAAACATACACATACAAGCTTTCACATTTATAATAATAATATTAGTTATTTATAATATTAATAGATTATGAAAATTTTAAATAAAAGTTTCCATGACGTGTGTTACAGGACTTAAAAAGCAATTCAAAGGATAACAAAGTCTGTGAGGCGCAATTAAATGCTACTATATTTCGTGGAAGACAATTCGGGTATTAGTTAGTACATTTTGAATAATTTCATTCCTATTACGCCTACTGCGACCACGAAAACTAGAAACTGTCAATGTTATTTTTATCCGTTTCAGAATATAAATCTACTTTATCACATTAGTTTAAACTACAGACATTGTCCTGTCCAATAAACATGTTGATGATGTTTGTGACAAAAGAGTTTTTATTTTTTTTTTAATTTGCCAATTTCCTTTTTCCAATTTTTTCTTTCGAAAGTCTCAAGTAATGCGCTTACCGAGGAAAATATTTTTTTTATATATTTAGATAATAAACAATATAAAGTCAACGTTCAAAGTTACACAAGCCACCATTTAATTGTTTAGAAAGAAATAGATTGATAAAAATTATACTTGGATCAATGAGGAAAGGTCTAATATTATCTTTGTTATAGCTTTTATAGAGAGCTAAAAATAATTACCCAAGCAAGGTTAAAATTAAAAATATGAAAAAATATAGTTCAAATGTATTCAAAAAATTTGCTCAACAGCTTATTGAAAGATAGATTGATAGATTGGTACATTTTAACGGTCAATATGGAATAGATAGACTATATATTATATGATATACCTATAGCCTATACTCTTCCTCAATAACGGACATTATACATTAACAGACTATCTAATGCAAAAAGAATTTAATACTTTCTTAGATTTACGCGAATATTTGACATTTTAAATAAAATTATCTTTTCGGATTATTTCGCGGATTTATATTGATTTTTAGTTCCCGATGTTTCGTATGCTTTACAGTAATCATGGTCACGGGAGAGACTGCCCGTGCGAGTCTAAGTCCGTCGGGAACCAAAAATTAAAATAAATCCGCGAAATAATCCGAAAAGATAGTTTTATACGAAAAGAATTTTTCAAATAGAATTAGTAGTTCCTGAAATGAGCGCCTCCAAACAAAAGTAAAAGTACGTTATAGGTACCCTCTTTTCTAACTAAAGTTAATATTTTAAAGGAGCCAAAGCTCAATGAGTGCACTATAGCTTCAATAAAGCATGCAATGAATATAAAGCTTCTATGATATTGAAGTCGTTTACATTTCTATGGAAACTCCTGTTATGGCAATCGTTTGAAATGAAATTATTTGGAAATTGGAAAGTTTTTGGAAACTAGTGTTGTAAATTGTGACGTGTTTCTTTTAAACGAGACAAATATTTAAAACTGGCGACTCACCTTCACGTTACGTTTTAGCGTTTATTATAGATTTCCAGTGCCGGATTCAACCTTAGCGCCGCCCCTGGGCATAGTAAAAAATGCCGTCCTATTACCGATTTTTTTTATTATTAATTTTTTGAAAAATGCTAAAAATTAATTTATAAATGATATCAATTTTTCGAAAATTGTACCTACTAGTTAGCTTTTTTTTACTTTTCAATGGAATGGAAAATAAAAAAAAACCATTTTCGATAACGCGAATTTTTTTTTTCATGCCCTCCTAATTTTACCGCCCAGGGCACTAGCCCCAAGTGCCCCAGTGTAGTGTAAATCCAGCGCTGTAGATTTCTCAGAGATGAGATATTTTCCCGCAGTAAAAAGTATCCTATTTTTTAATTTTAATTTAATTTAATCATTTATTTCAGTCAATATTTACAAAAAGATCTTAAATATATAAACTGCGGCCCATAACATATGGACCTTAAAAGTTAAATCGGTCCAGTAGTAGGTATTTGAGTTTATTCGTTACAAACATACAAAAATACAAATCTTTCCTCTTTATAATTATAGTAGTACCTACCTATAGATTTTTGATAAAAAGAGACACTGTCTTCAAAGTCACTTTACAAGTTGTACTAATATAAAACTTTTAATGTTTGGTTTCTTTACCAATAAAATCTATACTAATATTATAAACAGGTACAGTTTGTGAGTTTGTGAGTTTGTGACGTTGTAGGGGGTAATCTCTGGATCTATTGAACCGATTTAGATGAAATTTGGTAAGAAGATAGTTTGAGAGATAAAATTGTTACAAAATATAACCATAAAGTACATACATAAACTAAAAAAAATACTTAAATGTCTTTTATTTGTCATAGATTAGATTTTTTAATTTAATTTGGTAAATTAGTAAATATTGCATTATACTTATTTGAACGGTCCAGTCCATCCCAGCTTTTGCATTTCAGATATTTTCATGTGCGAATCATTTCCAACATGCTTACCACTTGCCTTACGGTGAAAATCTACATGTCTGAGAGAACCTAGCAAGGCTTCTAAAGACTTGGCCAGCGTGGACTATGGCATGATCCCCTTCGTATTGAAGGAAGGCCCAGCAGTGGGACTTGTAAAGGGCTGAATAGTATAATAATTAAAAATTGCTTTCTAACACAATAAAATCTGATTGATAAGATTTTCCTTATCATCTAAGTACCTATAATTCCGTATGTACTCATATTTCTAGCAAATAAAGAATTATAGCATTTTTATACACTAATAAAAACTGTTATAGCATTTTTACTAAAACAATGAGTAGAAAAGTGTCAATAAACCTATTTTATATGACATTTATCTAAACAAGCATCGCGATGAAGACAAAAGCTACTGGGTCAAAAGTCAATCTCATTTTACAAAGAATTACACCGACGTACTCTTATCTTATTCTGTATACATGTATAGCACTATAACTCCTAAACTTAGAAAAAATGTTATGCCAAAATCCTCTTTATGTTTTATGGAAAAGCATATATTTTTGTTTGATGGGTTAATTTTGTTGAACGTAACATATAAGGCTTGTTTTAAACTATTAGCGTCTCAAATGTACATTTTTATCAGGCAATTGTCAATTCACAAGGGAAAATATCTAAACACGTACTAAAATTGTGGTTTTTGTGGAAAATGCCTTAAAACTGGTACCGTTTAAGATTTGAGCCGAAAGTTTCTTAGTAATCGGTAATGATGACAATTTACCGTACGTTTTAAGAAAGTCTAGATGATGTTTTTAATGGGCTTTTAACCAACTTTAAAAAAGATTATCTTTTTTATATTTTTAGTACATATTTATATTTTAAGTTAGCTACTGTATGTTTCTTTATCACTGGCTACAAGGAGTAGACAGTTACTGGGATTGTGTTTGTTAAGCGATATTTTGCTTTTTTTATTATTATATAGTTGTAAGAAACAGTTCCTAGGTAATAACTATATAACAAATAGTATAAAAAAACTATATAATGAGCTTTGAGACGTTTATAACCTCAATCGTCCCCGTGACCATGCTGTAAAGCATTCGAAAAGTCGGGAACCAAACTCAAAATAAATACGCGATATAATCCGAAAAGGTCCGAGTAAATCCAAAAAAGTAATATATATTGTTTTTATTTAGTTATAACAAAAAATATGCTTAAACAGCACACACATTACGCGTCCGAGATTCTGAGATTATTCGATACAGACAGACGCTTGACTTACATTTATATATATACGTATAATACAAAAACCCATACGCACTAATTATTATCGACTACCACGTGAACAAACAATAAATGTACTAACACGTACAAACTAACAATACCTTCATATTACATATATAAAAACTTAATAAGTATAACTAAACATCTCACCGAAACCAATTCTGCGTGCCCAATATCTATTTTAAACAACAAAAGCTTACAAATATCAATTTCAAGCCATTCACACTTCGTAACTGACCGGGACAATGCTGTGGAATAATTGAAGTCACTTGAGTATATTGTTAAAGGATGAAAAGGTTTGCCGGTGGGCAAAAACTGTGTGCATCTGCTATTTTGTAGTTGATTCGCTATATGAGAGTGCGTCGTTTAGTATCAGAGCCAACACGTATTTATTTAGTTTTATCGAAGAGCATTAATACCAAGTTTCAAGTAATTCTGATCATAAATATTTTTTTTTTGGATTGTATTATGACGTGTTTCCCCATGGGAATTAGATAATATCCGGCGGTAAAAAGTAGCCTATGCCACTCTTCAGCCCTCCAACTCTACACACAAAAAATCACGCCAATCCGTCACTCCGTTACGACGTGAAAGAAAGCGAAATTAACAAACAAACACACTTTCACATTTATAATATTGGTATGGATGATAGATAGTTCTAGACGAAATTACGAGTAAAATAGCGCTATTGTTCGGTTTCTAAATGATCTCAAGGTTATTAGGTGAACCTATATCTTTAATTTTACGGGCCCTGTGATGCAGCCCCAAAATAATTGCCGATCCATACTTATTTAATTTCATACATATATAGGTTTTTCTACCAATTATAATATAAAAAAATAATTTGCTCAAAGTTAAACTCTCGCGTAGTTTTTGACATATTAATAAGATTTTTTATTAATTAAATATATTCTACTAAATTCTTTATTTACATGTAATATAAAATATGTAAATATAGTTTTTTTTAAGATATAGATCTAAAAAAGGTTTTAAATTAGGCCTTAAAAAGCTCTTTTTACCACAGTTATACATATTTAATAAAAAAACCAACACATCTTATAATTATTATATATTACTAAAAATTAAAAATCAAATGAAAACATAACATATAAAGCACGCAGCAGAATTTAGAAAACGTATATTAAATACAAAGTGGTTCAATTGAGCGTGAACGTATAATGTGATGTGTTTCCAATGAGCTTGTTACCTTTCCAGATTTGAAGCAAAAAAAGCCACAAAGGTATTCTAATTTTTTTTGAGGGATCACTTACTTGTGTAATTGGGTACACTTCAAAATACATATATTTTTTAAATATGCTACTAAAAGTTGTCAATAAAGATGCTGAGGCTTAAAGACTAAGATCCCGATCTATGTGGTGGACCCCTCACTCTTTTTCGAGGCGAAATATAATTTTTTAAGCAATAAAACATATTAACAAACACGACCTAGAGAGGTTGTTACCAAAAATTAGCTCCAGAGACGTCCATCGCATAGATTGGGATCTTAGACTATAAGCCTCAGCATTTTAATTAATCGAATCTTATATTATAATATTAAATGTGCAATGCTTGTA